CATTTCGTTTTGCTTCTCCTCTGCTTGAGGAGCCTGATATGGGAGCCCTCTTCCTGTTGACTTTTCCAAGACAAATCCTCTTGCACCCGTAAAACCTCTGCTATGTTCATTCTAAGGAAAAGGGAGGGAAGAATACACTTGCAGCCATGGAAATCACTTGCTCTTAATACCAATTGAAAATTCATAGTCCTGTTGCTAAAATATTTCTGGAAAAATAACTTGTGAACTGAAAGGAGTTCTTCCACCTGGGAATTCAGACATACCTGGAGAAACCATGAGTTTGGTTCCAGCTCCAAATGTAAGCTTGCCATAAGTCCCAGAGTCACACTGTGGCACAATGCTTTGCAAAATGGTGCACTGGGATGTGTCTGCTGGGTGAAGGCTGAAGAACAGGGCAGTGCAAGGTTTTACTGGAAGCAGCTCACAGAACCACAGAATGAACTAGGTTGGAAAAGACCTTTGAGATCATCAAGTCCAACCTATCACCCAACACCTGCTCATGGACTAAAGCTTGGCACTGAGTACCATATCCAGGCTTTGTTAAACCCTCCAGGGATGGTTACTCCACCACCTCCCTGGGCAGACAATTCCAGTGCCCAATCAGCCCCAATTCCAGTAAAGAATTTTTTTCTGATGTCCAACCTAAACTTCTCCTGGTGCAGCTTAAGACTTTTTCCTCTCATTCTATCAGTGGTCACCTGGGAGAAGAGCCCGAGCCCCACCTGGCTGCACCCTCCTGTCTGGGAGTTGTAGGGAGTGATGAGGTCTCCCCTGAGCCTCCTCTTTTCCAGACTAAACATCCCCATCTCCCTCAGCCACTCCTGACAGGACTTGTGCTCCAGACTCCTCACCAGCCTTGTTGCCCTTCTCTGGACATGCTCCAGCCCCTCCATGGCTTTCCTAAATTGGGGGCTCAGGAATGGACACAGCACTTGAGGTGCTGCCCAACCAGTGCCGAGCACAGGGCAAGAATCCCTGCCCTGCTCCTGCTGGCCACACCATTCGTGATCCAGGCCAGGGGCCATTGGCCTTCTTGGCCACCTGGGCACACTGCTGGCTCATGTCCAGCCTGCTGTCCATCAGTACTGACCCCCAGGTCCCTTTCTCCCAGCCACTCTGTCCCCAGCCTGTAGCAGTGCAGGGGTTGTTGTGGCCAAAGTGCAGGACTCACCACTTGGACTTGTTAAACCCCACATAGTTGGACCTGTCTCACCTATCCAGCCTGTCCAGGTCCCTCTGCAGAGCCCCCCTGCCCTCCAACAGATCCACACACGCTCACCAACATCACTGGCTATCACCTCAGCATAAATAAGCACTTCCTTCAGCCCCATTCCTCTGCCTGGTTCATTCACCATCTGTGTATTCTGTCCTCTCCACACAGCAGCAGCATCTGTCCATCACTGCATGCACACACAACCTCCCAGGCTGGGTTTGGAGCCTCCTGACAGCTACTGAGTCTCACCAGCCTGTGTCACCTTTCTGCTCTCTTCTCTTGCAATGTCCACCCTCCCTTGCAGGCTGCTCTTCATGTTGTAATGATTCATACTTGGAAAAGCAACACAGAATTGTTCAGGTTGGGAAGGCCCTCTAAAACCATTAAGTTGAACCCATACCCCAGCATGTTCACCCCCAAACCGTGTAATTTAGCAGGGAGTGTCCAAACACATCCTCTCAATCCCCACAACTAACAGGAAAGATCCACAGCTTGTGTCATTCCCATTTCTGCTCTCTGGGCAGTAGCTCCAGTTCTACAGTTCCCAGCAGTAACCCAGAGATCACTGCTACTGCTTGTTGCCAACAGCTTGAACTGCATTTTGTTCCTTCTTTTCAAACATTAATCCTGTTTTTGAGTGGACTGAAATTTTCCACTGGGTTCACTGTCCCAAAGCTCAGAAATCTTATTTAGTCTTACATATCCCTGCCCTTGCATTTCTCTTACTTGTTGTCACTTTTCCAATACATTTTTTCCCCAGCATGGACACATTTCTAGTCCACACTGGTTAAGCATAAAGTCTCCCACTTCTTTCCTTGGAAAGCTCAGATTTCTCCACAAAGCCAGTGCACTGCTCTTGGTGCAGCTGGAGCTCAGCATTGTCAGTGTTGAGACCACCTTGGCTCAGAGGGGACACAACTCACCTGGGACAATGAGAAGTCTGGTTCCACTCCCCCAGGTCAGTTTTCCCCAGCCTCCAGAAGTCACACAGTGTGACAGCTCATTACAAAATGGGGCTCTCCATGCAGCCCCCTCCGGGGCTGTTGCAGGGCTGGGATCCATCCAGAACTGGAGCTGCCCCTGCCAGAGGCTCCAAACAGCCACACAGATTTCCAGAGATCCCCTCTGGCCTCTCTTTGCCCCAACCTGACTTCTCTGTTCAAATCCCTGGGGAAAACTGCCTTTGCCTGTGGTCACTGGACAAGTCAGAGATGGGAAGAACTTCCCCCTCAGTTATCAGGGACCGGTTTAGGATGCCTGTCCCAAAGACTGCTTGCACTGGAATGGCGAGAGGGAAGGAAAGAAGGCCCTGGAGCCAGCCTGGATCAGGCTCCCTGACACCGGGCACCTTCCCAGCAGCCCAGATTTGCAGCTGCAGGAGGCAGCTTTGCAGTGCCAGAGGTGTTCCAGCACTGAAAGCCTTGCTGTCCATTTCAGCTGGGCCTTTCCTTCCATTGCCCAGCCCTGGCACAGCCCCAGCACAGAACTGCTGGGTGAGAGAGATTGCAACACTCAGGCACTGAGCACCTCCTTGGCCAGATGGGGAATTCAGCCCCTGAGCCCAGGGTGAGCTGGAGCTGTTGTCAAAGAGCAGAGCAAGTTCCCAATCCCAGAGCTGGGAGCTCCATCTCCTGCAGCACCTCAGAGACTTTGGACAAAGAACACACAAGAAAAACTTCTCACTCACTGGGCTGGATGGACAGGCGGGTCCCTGAGCCAAAGGTCACCTTGCCGTAGCCAGAGCCAAAATCCCACAGCATTTCCTGCCTTAACAAAAAGCCCAGCAAGGCCCTGCAGAGCAGCACCTCTGCCCCAGCCTTTGCCCAGCCATGGCCCTGCTCTGAGGGGCAGCAGAGGGGAGACACAAGGCAGGAGGTGCCTGGGCAAGAGCAGTGCTTGACAATCTGACTGCGTGGGATGAGGTCAGGGCTTGGGCCAGAAGCCATCAAAGCTCCATCTCCTCCTCTTCCTCCCCCTCCACCTCCTCCTCCTCCTCCTGTCCCTGCAGTGTTCCCAGGCCGTGCCCTGTGTTGCTGTCAGGGTGGGAAATCTGCCATGGTGAGAGAACCCAGGCTGAGGGCAAAGGTTCCCCGGGGCTCAGAGAGATTTAAACAATGAGGCACCTGTGCCTGCTCAGCCAGCACTTCTTGGGCATCCCCAGGAGCCTTGTCAGCCTCCTGGAGGTGTCCTTGTGGGAAGCACCATTGCTCACCCATCGCTGCTGCCACCGTGACACAAACCGGGCTGTGTGCAGGGACCCTGGGGAGCCAAAGGAGCTCTGGATCCACTGCAGGATAGGGGGGACAAGTGTCCCAGGAGAAGTGTCACCTCTCTGTGACACACACATCCATCTGTGCTCAGAGGAGAGAGGGCAATGGGAACAGGCTGCAAAGAAGCTTTGACTCTGTAACAGAGCAGGCAGGGGCAGAGAGCCATGTGGGAAAAGCAAATCCAGGGGACACGCAGGCAATGGCAGGGCTGCAGACATTGTGCTTCCCAAACCTGTGCCTCCCTCCAAACAACCACGAGCAAGAGAGAAATGAAGCAATTCCACTTCCCAGGACAAGGCTTTGCTCACCTGGCAGGATCGAGAGCAGAGTCCCCTTGCCAAAAATGCTTCTGGCTGCCACATTTACACCCTGACACATTTCATTGCAAAAACGCCTCTGCCAGCCCCACACTTGATCTCAAGCACAAAGCACCTGCAAATCCAGGCCCAGCAAAGCTTCCTGACACACCAGGCTCCACTTGGGTGCCATTCCCTGCAGCAAGGCAGCTTCTATTCCCCAGCTCTTGCCTGAAAAGCAGCAGCTCCCTTTGCCTTTCCTGGTTTTTAGCACCCATGAGAGATGAGTCCCAGGCATGGCAAGGCTTTCCCAGAACCAGGGGCCCTGCTCCTGTGCAGGGACCTGCTGGGCACCCCCAGCTTTGGGTGTGGGTGGGTTTCAGAGGTGGCTCAGAGACCCATGGCTGCCCCTGGAATTGGACACATTTTGTGCAGCCCAGAGGCAGATTCCCTTGCTGAGGGAGAGGAGAGCAGGCTGGGCTGGGCCAAATCAGCAGATTCTGTTCCTGTCCCAGGGGAGCCTGCTCCACTCAGCCCCAGGGAAGTGCCCATGGAGGTGGGAAGGGAGGTCAGGGATAGCAGGGCCCAGGAATTCCCCCCAGCTGGGCACATCCTGTACTCACTGGGCTTCACAACCAGATGTGTCCCTGTCCCCAGGATCAGTTTGTAGTTCCCTGAGCTCACACAGTCCTTCACACCCCAACAAAAACCATCAGCTCTGCTGCCACTTCCTCCTCCAGCACCCTGCAGCAGAGCAGCTCCTGCCAACCAACACCAGGTACTGGAAGCCAAGAATCACTTCAGCCTTGGAAGGAAGAGTCTGGGAACCCCATCCCCAGCAGGGATGACAGCTGGGGTTGTGGGGCAAACAGGAGCATTGTTCATTGAGCCTTTCCTCTCTGGAGCAAAGGAGCAGCTCCCTGGGCTGTGCCTGACAGAGCCATCAGCATCCCACCCTGATTTCCAGAGGTCTGGATGGCTGTGGCAGGAATTGTCTATCCCTGAGCAAGAGGGCTCAGGAGCTGTGTCTGCTTGGGCGAAGGGAGAGAGCAGGGGCTGGCAGGGGTGAGCAAAGGAGGAAATTCACGGCCTTTCTCAGGCCAGGTCCCTTCTGTAGCCAGAGAAAACAGCAAAATTCACACAGATTGAATCCATCTCCCTCCACTCCCCTCTCACTGACTGGTGCCACAGGATGAAGCAGGAAAAAGCTTCCACACTTACTGGGATTTACTCTTAGCTGAGTTCCACCTCCAAAGATGACCTTGTTGCCAAAACCAGCCCCACACAGTGTTTGCCTTCTCAACACAAACCCTGTCAGTCTCCTCAGGGGCTGATTCCCTGGAAAGCTGAGCTTTGCTGGCTGGGCATTTCTTGGACAGTCCCAGCTGGCCATCCCTCTCAGCTCTGGCAGAGATGACCCCTGGAAGCATCTTTGTCCCACAGAGAGAAGATGCAGGTGCTGATCACAGCTCCTCACGCAGCACTAGGACCCTGGCCCCCAAATGAGAGCTCTCCTGTGGGGCCATTCTGCACAGCCTGCACGCTCACAACTCTCTGCTCTCTGTCTCTCACCCCTCCCACACACCAACCCCAGCCCTGGGCAGAGCCCTTCCCAACACAACCCAGGTGGTTTTGCTCCAGGTGAGGGATGGCACTTTGCTATTCTCTCCTTCAAGCTGCGCTTCCACCTACCAGGTGTCACCTTCTGTTTGGTCCCATTCCCAAATTCACACTCACTGACAGAAGCCTCAAAACACACTTTTACTCCAGAAAACAGCAGGAGGTTTCCCATTGAGTTCCAGGTGTAAATAGGTATTGTCCTTGTCACTGTCTCTGACCCCCACACAGCAGTGTCCTTCTCCTGTCCCATCCCTCTGAGCCCTCAGATTGTAAAAACAATCAAGAAATCCACACAGATGGGATCCCAGCCCCGTGCCTGTGTGGGGCAGATGAGAAAGAGCTGTCCCCAGTGCCAGGGGTGCCCAGGTGCCTCTTCCTCCCCCCTGTTTCAGCCCACAGGACACCTAACCTGGAGCTACTCGGTGGCTTTCAGGGAAATTCTGCTGCCAGCCCCGAAGCTGAGCCTGCCCAGCCCTGCCCCTGCAAAATGCCACAGCCAGGGCCAGCTTCAGCAAAACCCCACAGCCACCAGACAGCAAACAGCCAGAAGAGAGTGACATCTGGCTCTCCCAGCAGTGGTGGAAGGAAACAGTAAAAGGCAAGGGAAATCACGAATTCCTGAGCTCTGACATCCTGCCCCACAAACCAGGCTCACCCAGAGCTGCCCACAAGGACCTGGAGCCCCTGCAGGAGCAGCCAGGGCTGCTCAGGGCACAAGCACTTGTCAGCATCTCACAGATTTCTGTGTCTTTGAGCGTTCCCCCCTCACCAAAGACATCTTTCTGCCCTCAGCCTTCCTCCCACAGCAGCTCACAGTTTTTCCATGGCCAGAGAGAGGACACTGGGCTCTCTGTGCTTACAGAAAGGCTTCCCAACATTTACACCCCCCGTTATTGCCGAGCACATTTCTGCATTGGCCTCTAGGGCTAAAAAGTAATTTTGGCAGGAGACACACGGTCACACCTGGCTTTGTCCCAGCTCCAAGGGAGGACCAGATCCCATGGAAATCACAGAACAAAAGCCAGCAGAGCAGTGCTCTCATGTGCCCTGGGCATGGCAGCCTTTGGTGTGGCTGACAGGGACAGCCCCAGCAGGGCACAGGGGACAATTTTCCAATGGTCACACAGAGCCCGAGGTGAGAATTCCTCTGTGCAAGCACAGCCCCCTTCGAGAGCACACTGAGCTCAGAGCCTGTGCTGGGAGAGAAGGCACTTCAGGAGTGCGAAAGAGGAATGAAAGGAGGAATTGGAAAGCATTCCCCTTGCAGGGGAGGAATTGGGAAGCTGACAGGCAAGCTGCTCACTCACTGGGCTGGACGGACAGTCGGGTCCCTGAGCCAAAGATGATCCTGTAGTTGCTGTCACACAGCAGTTCCTGCCCTAACAAAAAGCCCAAGGAGCTTCCTCAGAGCATCAGCTCTCCCCCTGGCTTTGCCCTGCTGGAACTGGGCAAACACAAATCCTCTGTGTCTCTATTGCACACTCCTGGCTTCTCTTTCTCATTTTAAGGTGCCTAATTGCAGGAATGCAGCAAGAGGAGACAGCCTGGAGGGAAGCAGCAGCAGCAGCAAAGGTCCTTGGCAGAAGATGCAGCTTTGTCCCTGGTCCAGCTGGAGCTTGGCTGTGCTGGAGACACACAGTGTGAGACACTCCTGCAGGAGCCCAGGCGGCCTCTCAGCTGCTCTGGGCTGCTGCTGGCAGGACAGGGATGAGCCCTGGCACAGGAGATGCCATTGGCCCTGCGAACTGCAACACCAAGAGGAGGCAAAGAGAAAACCCCAAGGCTTCCTTTCTCAGGCAGTTTGCAAAATCCCTGTCCATTCCTGGCCATGAGACTTCCCAGCCCAAAGGGGACAGTGCCCAAAGGGCTGGCTCCTGCTCTGGTGTGAACCCCACTCTGGCCAGGGCTTTTCCAAATCAACACCAAGGTTTCCTTTCCTTGGGAGCTCAGCTCACCTTTCCTCTCCTGGGTGCCTGTCCTGGGCTGCTGCTGCTGGAGTGCAGCTCCCCAGACAGAATTGTTGGGTGAAATTGCATCCAAATTTCTCCACAAAGCCAGTGCACTGCTCTTGGTGCAGCTGGAGCTCAGCATTGTCAGTGTTGAGACCACCTTGGCTCAGAGGGGACACAACTCACCTGGGACAATGAGAAGTCTGGTTCCACTTCCCCAGGTCAGTTTTTCCCAGCCTCCAGAAGTCTCACAGTGTGACAGCTCATTACAAAATGGGGCTCTCCATGCAGCCCCCTCCTGGGCTGTTGCAGGGCTGGGATCCATCCAGAACTGGAGCTGCCCCTGCCAGAGGCTCCAAACAGCCACACAGATTTCCAGAGATCCCCTCTGGCCTCTCTTTGCCCCAACCTGATTTCTCTGTTCAAATCCCTGGGGAAAACTGCCTTTGCCTGTGGTCACTGGACAAGTCAGAGATGGGAAGAACTTCCCCCTCAGTTATCAGGGACCGGTTTAGGATGCCTGTCCCAAAGACTGCTTGCACTGGAATGGCGAGAGGGAAGGAAAGAAGGCCCTGGAGCCAGCCTGGATCAGGCTCCCTGACACCGGGCACCTTCCCAGCAGCCCAGATTTGCAGCTGCAGGAGGCAGCTTTGCAGTGCCAGAGGTGTTCCAGCACTGAAAGCCTTGCTGTCCATTTCAGCTGGGCCTTTCCTTCCATTGCCCAGCCCTGGCACAGCCCCAGCACAGAACTGCTGGGTGAGAGAGATTGCAACACTCAGGCACTGAGCACCTCCTTGGCCAGATGGGGAATTCAGCCCCTGAGCCCAGGGTGAGCTGGAGCTGTTGTCAAAGAGCAGAGCAAGTTCCCAATCCCAGAGCTGGGAGCTCCATCTCCTGCAGCACCTCAGAGACTTTGGACAAAGAACACACAAGAAAAACTTCTCACTCACTGGGCTGGATGGACAGGCGGGTCCCTGAGCCAAAGGTCACCTTGCCGTAGCCAGAGCCAAAATCCCACAGCATTTCCTGCCTTAACAAAAAGCCCAGCAAGGCCCTGCAGAGCAGCACCTCTGCCCCAGCCTTTGCCCAGCCATGGCCCTGCTCTGAGGGGCAGCAGAGGGGAGACAGTGCCTCACCCTGGATCCTGTGCTTCCCTGGGATGCAGTGGCACAGCCCAGGCTGGACATGGGCAGCTGGCACCTTTGGGAGCAGGAGTGTGGCCTCTGTGTGCATCCCAGTCAGACAGAGAGCAAGGAGCCTTGGTTTGGACACTCCCTGGAAGGGAAGTCCTCCCCTGGCTATGGACACACAGAGATGACCAAACCCCAGCCAGGCTCAGACACCTCAGACACCCAAAGAATGATCTCAAACACAACAGAAAGAGCAGCAGCAGTGCTGGACTTACGTGGCCTAACAATGAGTCTGGTTCCAGAGCCGAAGGTAGGTGCATAAACACCTGATCCTGTGTTCACACAGCATTTCCTCTCCTTACAAAAACCTTCCCCACCAGCTGGCAACACTGGTCACCCACAGTCCAGCAGACAGTGCTGAATGCCAGGAGGATTCAGCCACAGCCTCAAGTGAAGAACTGCCATGATCTGCCTGTGGGGTCAGCTCTGGTACTTGTGGATGCAAATCCTCCTTGGGAGCACTGCTCTTTCTGCCCAAAGCCAGGGCACATCTTGGAGAAGAGAAGGTGACCTGTAACTCCAGAACTGAAGAGCCACCAGCCCAGGAAGGGTATCCTGAAAATCTGGCTGGGCACAGGGCAGTTTTGTCCCACATGGAACGAGTTAACAAGAAAGTGTGTGCACTTAGCAGCTGAAGCTGGAAGCTGTGTCCCTCTGCCAGTGTGAGCTTGTGCCACAGCTCACACAGCAGTTTTCAGCTCAGCAGGAACACAAACTCATCCACAAGCTGAGACAGAAAAGCAACCCCTGCTGGCATGGCCATGGCATGAAATATCCTGAGCAAATGTGGTCAGGATCCCACACTGAATATCTGATAGGAAGGACATAGATCACTGACAGGGTAATTGAGGACATTGCATAGTTGACCTCTCTTTAGCTCCTATCACTAGTATGACATTTTATATATTTTTTTTATATCTACAATATTAAGCAAAAACCTTACTTGGTTTTACACTTAGCTGCACTCCACTTCCAAAGGTGAATTTGTTTCCATAGCTATTCACACAGTGATTGCCTTCAAAACAAAAACCTCTTTTTTCTCCAATACCTAATTAGGTCCTACTTGACATTCTTTTAAACTTTGTCTACCCAGGTAAACTCCTTGGCAATTTTAACTACATTTCCTGTAAAGATTTTTCCTAGTTTATGGTCTTCTTTGGTTTGGACAGAGATGGCCACTGACTGAAAGTCTTCTCCTTCATTCATGCAACTAAATCCCACAGCAAAATTCCTCCTTCAGCATTAGATCAGCATTAAAAGCAGAGATCTCCTCCTGGACCTTCCTGCACAAACCTCAAAACACATTTCTTGATTCCCCAAACAAAAAATTCCCTGCCTGTTCCAACCTCTTTCCAAGACAGCCCAGCTTTTGTTTTTCTCAAGGAGTGCAAACCTGGATGGAAACCTCTCTGTAGCCAGAAGCAGGAGCAAGTGAGCAAAGGCTTAAACAGTTTTCCCAGCAGAGAAAGAACTGCAGCCACTGGGAATTAATGGGGACCTTGCCTGGGTTCTGGACAATGGAAATAAAGGAGGTCTGCAGGTCTGGGAGGTTTCTGGGAACAGGCAGTAGTGAAGAAAATAACTTAGAAATGTCACAGACCTCAGTGACACGTATGGCACAGGAAAATCCAGCCTCTCAAGTAGATGTT